TACAGGCGTGAGCCACTGGCACCCAGCTCACATTTAATTTTTTGAAGAACTGACATATTTCCACTAGTGGTGTACAAGTATTCCAATTTTATCATACCTTTGCCAACACCTGTTATTGTTATTGTTATTATTATTATTTTGTGGGTCGTGGGGCTTGAACTCTGGGCCTGGGCACTGTCTCTACACTCTTTAACTCAAGCTGAGCACTCTACCGCTTGAGCCACAGTACCACTTCTGGTTTTCTACTGATTTATTGGAGATCAGAGTCTCACGGACTTTTCTGCTGGGGCTGGCTTTGAACCATGATCCTCAGATCTCAGCCTCCTTGAGTAGCTAGGATTACAGGTGTGAGCCACTGGTGCCCAACTTTGTTTTTATAGTAACTGTTCTAATGGGTAAGAGGCGATATCTTGTGTTTTTGTTTTGTGGTGCTGAGGAATAAGGCCTCATGCTTAGCAAATCTTCTACTAATGAACTGCTCCCCCACAAAATCAATGTGGCTTTGATTTGTGTTTCCCTAATGATTAATGATGATGAACTTCTTTTCAAACATATGTTGATGATTATTTTTTGTTATCAGTTTATTGAGATAGGGACTCACTATGTATATAATCAAAGCTGGCTTTGAACTTAACATTTTTCTGCCTTAGCCTTTGAGGCTGAGATTACAAGTGTGTACCATCTGCTCAGCTACATTGCTTTTTTGTTTTGTTTTAATTTAATTTATTTGTTTTTTGTTTATGTAGTATCAAGGAATAAAACCCAGGGTCTTACCCATGCTAGGCGAGCACTCTACCACTAAGCCACACTCCCAGACCTGTTATATTGTTTTTAAATCCTGTTTCCCCATACAGATTTTTCAAGGTCATACACTCAGTTTTACCTGTTAAGCCTCAGCCTAGTTGTCATATCTTATTGGTCTAGCTCATGTGATTTCTAAGGTTATCCTGTTTTGTGTATTGTTTTTCTTCCTTTACATTGTTACTTCTTCCTTAACTGTACATTAGAAATATTTAATAATTTTCTCTTTGGACAATCCAGATCAGATCAGCTTCTGACTTTCTACTTTATCATTAAGTTTACATTATCTCTTATCTTTGAACTGGTGAGTGTTCACAAGGCATTCTGGTATAGAATGAGTTGCTCAAGAGATGAGTTTTATCAGTACACTGGCTCAAGGGGAGTCATTTACCCAGAAGACTAGAGGACACACTCTGTGGGATGAAATTAGTTTTAGGTCACTCTATTTTTTTTTTTTTTGTCGGTAATGGGGCTTGAACTGTGGGCCTGAGCGCTGTCCCTCAGCTCTTCAGCTCAAGGCTAGTGCTCTACCAGTTGAGCTACAGTGCCACTTCTGGTTTTCTGGTGGTTTATTGGAGAGAAGAGTTTCACGGACTTTCTCGTGCCTGGGCTGACTTTGAACCACGATCCTCAGGTTTCAGCCTCCTGAATAGCTAGGATTACAGGCATGAGCCACCAGCACCCAGCTTTTAGGTCACTCTTATGGTCTTCTAGGGCTCTGAGATTCTATGAAATCTGAACCTTGCTTAACCTGTTTTACCCAATTATGCAGAAATTAAACTTATTATCTACTTTGAACAGTTAATATACTTATATAGCTAAAAGCAAATACAGTATAAGAAAGTAATGTACTGTAAGAAATAATATGCCATTCTTATTCTTCCAGGCATTATTGCTTTTTGTCCATCCTTCTCTATACATACATTCTAGATACAAAAGCAAAAAAAAGCAAGTATATATTATTTTTGTTAACAAGTACATGCATACATATATATGTATATATATCTATACTTGATACTTTCTTTTAAAATTTGATATGTGATAATATGACAGGTACCAGTGACTCATGCCTATAATACTAGCTATTCAGAGGTAGAAATCTGAATATTGTAATTCAAAGCCAGCCTGAGCAGGAAAGTTTATGAGCCTTTTAATTCCTGTTAACCACCAAAAACCCAGAAGTAGAGCTGTGACTCAAGTGCTAGAACATCATCCTTGAGCAAAAAAGCTAAAGACAGTGTGTAGGCCCTGAATTCAAGTCTGAATTATCCGCCTCCCCCCCCACAAACGTGATAATGTATAAAAATCATGATGTAATGTTAAATGCATAGAACACGAATGTCAGCTCAAGGAATTATGACAAATATACCACTTGTGAACACAAAAACTGCTTCCAATATTCCAAGAAATATAATACTGCCAGCATCAGAGAAACTTCCCTCATGGCCTAACTTCTCTCACCAGTAATTGCTATGCTGACTTATAGTTCTAGAGTCAAGTTTTGCTTAATTTTCATCTATATATTGTGTATGTCTGGCTGTTTGATTTAATATATTTTTGTGATTTATATAAATTGTAGCATGTAGTTGTAATTCACCTGTTTTCATCTTTACGTAGTATTCTATTATGAAGATACTACAATCAAGCTTTTTTTTTTTTGGTCCGGTCGTGGGCCTGAACTCTGGGCCTGGGCACTGTCCCTCAGCTCTTCAGCTCAAGGCTAGTGCTCTACCACTTGAGCCACAGCGCCACTTCCGGCGCTTTTTTCTTTTTGCTGATATGGTGCTGAGGAATCGAACCCAGGGCCTCAGGCATGCAAGGCAAGCGCTCTACCACTGAGCCACCTTCCCAGCTACAATCAAGCTTTTATTGTACTTTTGACATTTGTGTTAACTGGTGTGAGTATAGGTAATGATATTACACTTCTCTTGTATGCAGTTTTGGCCCTATGGACATTTCTGTTGGGTGTCTCTCTTGGAGTGGAATGACTGGGACATAGGCTATATGTACTATATGTTCATTGCAGAAGACAATGGGACCTGTATTCCAGAGTGGTGCCTGGAAAGACTGGTCTGATTCTGTTTCCTACATTTTTAGGAAGGATTAATCCAAATTAGTCAAGATTAACCAGTGCTTCTGATGTTTAACGTCTTACCACATAAGGCTGTCAAATGAATTGACTGACTTTTTTGCTCAAGTCTGGCGCTTTACTTGTTGACCCATACCATCACTTCCAGATTTTTGCTGTTTTATTGGCGATAGGAATCTCTTAGATTAATCTGCTTGAGCTAGCTTCAAATTGTGACCATTAGATCTCAGCTTCCTGAGCAGCAAGGATTATAAGCATGAGCAACCAGCATCTGTCTGTACATACTTAATTGTGTATGTGTATGTGTGTGTGCACATGTACATGTGCAGGTGTGTGCTTGTGGGCACATGGGTTTTGGGCTTCAACTCCAGGCCTAGCTGTCCCTGAACATTTTTGCTCAAGGCTAGTGCTCTACCACTTGAGCCACAGCTCTACTTCCTGTTTTTTTGGTGGCTAATTGGAGTTAAGAGTCATAGACTTTCCTGCCCAGGCTGGCGTTGAACCAATGATCCTCAGATCTCAGCCTCCTAAGTAGCTAGGATTACAGGCATGAGCCACTAAATACCCAGCTATACATACATAATTTGATGAGCAAGGTATGTTTTGGGATAAACTTTCAGGACTGAACATGCTGAGAAAGAATGTATTTAAATATATGAAAGATTATGTACAATTATTATATATCTTACCAAAGAGTTGAATCATTTGCACTCTGACCCATCTATGAAGGAAACTCTTTCTTTCTTTCCTTCTTTCTTCCTTTCTTTTTTTCTTTCTTTTTTTCTTCCTTTCTTTTTTCTTTTTTTTTGTCAGTCAGGGGGCTTGAACTCTGGGCCTGGGTGCTATCCCTGAGCTCTTCAGCTCAAGGTCAGTGCTCTACCACTTGAGCCAGAGCGCCACTTCCCAAAGTTAATGATTTTTGACAAATTGTTTGTTCTTTTTGTTTGTTTGTTTGTTTTTTTATTTTTGGGTCCGGTCGTGGGCCTGAACTCTGAGCCTGGGCGCTGCCCCTCAGCTCTCCAGCTCAAGGTTAGAGCTCTACCACTTGAGCTGCAGCACCACTTGCAGCTTTTTTTTTTTGCTTATGTGTGCTGAGGAATCGAACCCAGGGCCTCAAGCATGCAAGGCAAATACTTTACCACTGAGCCACCTTCCCAGCCCGATTTTTGACAAATTGTAAGATGAAAAATGCTGTGTTGTTGTCATTTTAACTTGCATTTCTTTTGTAGGTGTGAGGGTTTTTTTTTTTTTTTGGTCTGTAACTTATTTGATCTTACCCTTTGCCCATTTCTATTGGGAAATCTAAATCTAAAGGAGATCCATCTTTCTTTGTGGTATGTCTGATAAGGCATTATCTATGTGATTGTATCTTTTCAACACCTACTCCATTATGAAATTTTCCACTGAACTGAAGCAAACACTGAAGTAAAGTGAGACTGAGTAACTCACTAATGCTTCCCAGTAGTGGAGCAGGCAGACTTTGATTAGCTGTCTCTAATTCTAGGTTTGAACTTTTAATAATACCCTTATAAATGACCTACCAGATAGCACAGGAAGTCAAAGCCTTTGTCTTAAACTACTTTCTTTTCATCTAGAACTTCCCTATTTTCTCATTTTGTTTTTCTTCCTTTCTTTTTCTTGTAAAATTTTATTTAGCTACTATCAAGTGCCAGACTCTAGAGATACAACATTTCTACAGTTTAGAGTCTATCTTCAAAATGTTCATAGACTAAGAAAGGAGACAATCGTAAGAGTTCACAGTGTTATATAAGTTCTAACTTGCTAGAGGAAGAGAGAAAATTTCACAGAAGGCTTTACAAAAGAGGTGACATTTGAGCTGGGTATTGGAGGATGATTTGGAAGTCCAGACAAAGCAAAGAAGAACATTCTAGATGGGGATGGAGCACAGCCTATCTAACATCTAGCATTATTTCTTTCTCGCTTTGTAAGTTATCTTAGAACATTTAAGAATTTAGCTACTTCTTGGGCCTTCAGGATTTTGTAGATTTCAATACCATTTATTTCTTGTTTGAAAAGTACTAGTAGATTTTGTGAGCCTCATGTCTTCATATTTGTATCTCATTCTCTTTCTCTCTCTTCTCTTGACTAGTGGGGACCCCAGGAGCCACTGATGGAAGCAATATTACCTGGGCATCGGACCATGAACCCCTGTCCTGTGTGGGAGCGGAAGAACAGCTGTGTATACCTGTTCTTCATCTGTATACGAGACCATGTCACTGAGTGTCACCAGATTGTGTCAGGCAGGAATGCTGCCCGCCTGTGCTTCATCTGCAGCCAGGATGCAGGCCATACATGGAGTAAGCTGAGAGATTTGACAGAGGAGGTGATTGAGTTCTCAGAGATGAGGCACTGGGCCACCTTTGCTGTGGGGCCAGGTCACGGCATCCAGATTCAGTCAGGGAGGCTGATCATCCCTGCGTATGCCTATTATTTCTCACACCGGTTCTGTGGCTTCCCACTGTCATGTTTCACCAAGGCTCACTCCCTGATGATCTACAGTGATGACTTCGGCCTCACGTGGCACCATGGCAAGTTCATTAGGGGCCTGGTGACCGTGGAGTGCCAAGTGGCAGAAGTGACTGGGAAATCTGGTTTTCCTGTGCTCTACTGCAGTGCCCGCACACCAAACAGGTTCCGGGCAGAGGCTCTTAGTATTAATCATGGTGAATGCTTTCAGAGGCAGGCCCTGAACCTAAAGCTGTGCGAGCCCCCCAATGGCTGCCAAGGCAGTATCTTGAGCATCCAGCCCTTGCAGATCCCGCATCGATGCCAGGATCCTGATGACAAAGATGCTCCCACCACTGAGAAGAGTTCCCAAATGGACAAATTACTGCAGCTGGAGGAAAGAGCTGGAAAATTGTCAGGAACATGGCTCTTGTACTCACACCCCACCAATAAGAAAAAGAGAATCAATCTAGGTATCTACCTCAACCAGAGCCCCTTGGATACTGCCGGCTGGTCTCAACCTTGGATTTTGCACGATGGACCCAGTGGTTACTCTGATCTGGCTCTTGTGGAGGAGCAGGGCTTGTTTGGATGTTTGTTTGAGTGTGGGAGTGAGCATGAATGTGAACAGATTGTCTTTCGCCTGTTTACGCACTTAGATGTCCTGAGCCACACGCAAGAGGACTGTGCCAGACCTGCTGGGATGCAACCTGAGCCAGTTCAGCACTGACTTGCTATCTCTAGAAGGGAGTAACAACCAGAGCTGCGGTACCAGAGCTTTCTAACAGCTCAGTTCACTTATTTTGCCTTTACTCTTTCCTTCTTTTTTAAAGAGAAAAGGGAAAGTTTTGCCATAGTTAATTGCTGAACTGCCAGTTGGCTGGCCACAATGTGATCTTGGCTCTGCCACTGACCTGCTTAAAGACCTTGGATATGCCTCCTGGACTCTAGGGGGCTCAGGTCTCCATTTTTAAAGTGATAGAATTAGCTTGTGGTTTTTCATCTTCCCATTGCTAGGTGAGGCATAGTGCCAGTGTGCTCCACAGTCAGCAAGTCCTGGCTACATAAAGGACTGAGCTTGAATGGAGGTCAGAGGGCTTCTCTTTTCAGATGGTCCACTCTTGTTCAAGCAGGTTTTTGTGTGGCAAGAAGGAAGTTGTGGGGGTTTTTTTGTTTTGTTTTTGTTTTTGATGTCAGTACTGGGGCTTGAACACAGGGCCTGCTACTGTCACTTAGCTTCTTTTGCTCAAGGCTGGCCCTTTACCACTGGCTTTTTGCTGATTAAAAGTCTCACAGACTTTTCTGCTCAGACTGGCTTCAAACCACAACCACAATCCTCAATCTCAGCTTCCTGAGTAGCTAGGATTATAAGTATGAGCCACTGGCAGGTTTCTCTCTCTCTCTCTCTCTCTCTCTCTCTCTCTCTCTCTTTTGTGCTGGTTCTAGGCTTGAACTCAGGGCCTAGATACTGTCCCTGAGCCATTTCAGCCACAGCTCCATTTCAGCTTTTTGATCGTTAATTGGAAACCAGAGGTTCACAGACTTTCCTGCCCAGGCTGGCTTTGAACCTCCATCCTCATATATCAGGCTCTTTAGTAGCTAAGATCACAAATGTGAGCCACCAGTGCCTAATTATTTTAGGTTTCTTTATTTTTGTATTTGTTGGTCATCGGCTCTTTTGCTGAAAGCTAGTGCTCTACCACTTTGAGCCACAGCTCCATTTCTGGTTTTCTGGTGGTTAATTCCTGCTCAGGCTGGCTTTGAACTGTGATCTTCAGATCTAAGTCTACTGAGTAGTGCCAAGCAGCTATTTTAATAACAAAACACCTTTATTCTTCTAATCATACTCAGAGCTCTACAAGCAGGTTAACCCAGAAGAACTGAGCAAGACACAGAATCATAAGGTCACTCACCATCTCTACCCTTCAGGTTGAATCAACCTCCCCTTCTTCATCCAGAGAACATAATTTCCTAGAGAGGAAAACGATCATCTCAGTGCTAGCCACCCTTCATAATGGAGCTTACTGCTTCTGATGCCATCACCTCTTTGCAAGATGAGCCTAAAGTTCATTTACTAAATAGAATGCTTCCTGATCAGAAAGTACACGTGTTAGGACCCTACAGCATTGGCAAAACTGGGCATGGTAGTCCCAGCTATATAAGGAGGCTGAGGCAAGAAGATTGTTTGAGCCTAGGAGTTCAAGCTAAGCCTGGGCAACAAAGTGAGACCTTCATCTAAAAAACAAATCAGAGCCAAGAAGAAAATTGGACAAAACTTCCCATGGCCTGTGTCCTCCGGAATCCTCAGTTTATGTGGTTAGAAGTGTGATAAATAGTATGCAGATGTTGGGGTCATGATAGCTCCTAACATTATTTCATTGCATCTTTAGTATACCTGGAGTGATATATCCAGAAGTGTCCAGGCTGCTGGCTTTCTCACAAGTTTGTTTTACTCAGAATATTATTGTGATCCAATGACTTCTTAACTAGGGAGAAGGGCTTCATCATTAGGAGGGTCTGTGGGCTGCCAAATCAAGCCAATTAGTTTGACCTTATTGCAATTGATACTTATTTTATGTTTGTTTGTTAGGTTTTCTTTTTGTGTGTAGTAACTAAGTTTTGAACTCAGGGCCTTGTGCTGTCTAAGCAGGCAATTTACCTCTTGAGCCATGCCCCAGCCCTGTTTTGCTTTAGATGCGTTTCAGGTAAGGTCTCAAGTTTTTTCCTAGGGAAGCCTCAGACTGAAGTTCTGTGGAACTGGGATCATTTGCACATGCCCCTATGCCTGACTTGTTGATTTAAGATGGGGTCTCACCACTGTTTATCTGGGTTGGCCCTAAATTGCCTGATCCTCTCAACCCCGCCCTTGTGAGTAGCTGGGATTTCCAATGAGAACCACCACACCTGGCTTGATCACTGCTTGCAAAGCAAAGGCACCTCTTCATCTAACAGCTCTGGCACTTAGCCTGTGCCAGGTCTCTCAGCTGGTACCAGATGGTTGCTTCCATTGTAGATTATTTCCCCAGTAGTCTGCCATTGTGTTGGAAATTCCACCATAAGAGATTCATTCTCTTGTCTCTGTGTCTCTGTTTTAGGAAGACAATGCCTTAAACTGGTATGAGCTGAATAGATTTGGTGCTAGCTAATATCACAATACACTGGGCCAGAGATGCCTACCACCAGTGCTCATAGATACATCTAAATTGCCCTGCTTACTCTTTCCCAGTCTCATGCTTCTGTCTGAATTTTGAAGAGACAGACTCATTAGCGCTTTATTTCCAGGTCTTAGAAGAGAGAAATCTGGAGCAAAGTTAATGGGAAACCACAGCATTTGACTGATACACTTACACTTTCCAGGGTAAGGAAATGAAGGGTCTATTGTAGACTCTGCTGTTTTCAGAGGCTTCTGGTGATCATGCTACAAGTTTTGGCTGTGGAACAGAGTGTTCCACTTTATCAAAGGATTCCTGATCCATTTCTTCCTCTAGAGCCGCTGGGTGAAGACACTAGAATGAGACCACACAAGGGCATTCTGTTCAAAGGTCCTGATCCTCTCCACCTTTGGGGAGGAAGGGACACCTCAGAAATGTGTGAGGTCATGGGGCTGGAGCTCAGCCCCACATATGCTGTGCCGGTGTGTGCAAGGCAGAAGGAGCACTTCCTAGCAGGGAAACTAATTTGGAAAAGCCCTCTGTGCCAGTTTCAGAAATAGAAATTGAAAGGAAGGCCAGAATGAGGATTTGAGAGGGACAGAATAGGTGATGGGAACTGTGAGGAGGAAGACAGGCGTTCTCATGCATTTATAAAGATGGACAATGGCACAGACACGAGGCCTGGGCTGGAGAGGGGCAGCTGCTTTGAAGAAGTGACAGTGGACCAGAGCTGTTCACCAAAACCCATGGAAGAGAGACTTGGGCAGGTGAGCCTACAGAGGAGGTCCAGCCCCTCCCAGTCCTCTAACCTGGTTCAACTTCTCCATCCTTCCAAGACCCTGGAACCTATCCCAAACTACTGACACCCTATCTGGGCCCATTTCAGCTATCCTGGTGGAGTGGAAAGTTAGGCAGTTGGGGTAGCTGTGAAGAATAGAGGGAAGCAGGTAGGAGGCTTTTGATCTTTCCACATGAAGAGAACCATGTAGCCATAGGATTTGAAGTGGCTGCAGGCACAGATAAGAGTCCTTTTATTCTTCTCACTCTTCTATAGCATCTTACTAGTAGCACATTACTTTAAGAGGTGTCACAGTATCCATCTCTGCGTTGCCAGAGGGCATAGCCTGGCACACTCCCTTTGTGCCTTTCCAAGACTACTATGCTCGGCAGTCTGTCTTGTGCCCTCTAGGCCTCTGCCATACTGGGGACTCCTCTGTCTTGTTGTTGTTGGTCGTGGTACTTGAACTCTGGGCTTGGGCATTGTCACTCAGCAAGACAAGCACTTGAGCCACAGTGCCACTTCCGGTTTTCTAAGTGAGTGGTTTATTGGAGATAAGAGTCTCATGAACTTCCCTACCTGGGCTGGCTTTGAACTGCAATCCTCAGATCTCTGCCTCCTGAGTAGCTAGGATTACAGGTGTGAGCCACTGGTGCCTGGCCTCTTCTGTCTTTTGTTGTTAATCACAGTGCTTTCTCTGTTGCATTCTGATTGTCCAGACATAAGGGTCATCTTATTCCTGTCTTTGTACCAGCATTGGCCAGGAAAAGCATAGCAGAAAAGATATGCTGAATGAATGAATGAGTAAATGAGTGATTCAAAGACTGTTAGATGTCTGGAACTTACCTAAAGAAGCCTGGGGCATTCTACATCAGCAAGGATGTGGCATCCCTCTGTAAGTTTTAACTAGCTCTAAATGATGATTCTCTGTGCTGACCTGATTCTTAGGTCAGTCAGAATTCTTTCTTGGAACGGGCTTTTCTCTGGGTTGAGCTTGGTGCTGCCTGGTGGCTCAAGTATCACAGCCCAAGCCAAAGCCAAGCCGCGATGTGTGGAATGCTCATTTCACTGAAGTATTACTTCTGTGCTAGACTGGGTTTTCTGTAACTGCCATTCCTTCTAGACTTAAAGGGGGATGCTGAGCTGAGCAGATTCTGACTGTGGGCTCCGTGATGCCATCCATGTATCAGAAGTATCTCTATATCCTAGAAACTATCATCACCGACAGATGAATAAAGATTTAATTCTGGTGAACACTGTTACTTTTTTGTTGTTAAGGAAATCGAGGTGATCATCTTAATATCTAGTATGTACTTCCAAAATACAAGTTTGGGGCACTTTCTTTCCAGAAGGACTTTTAGGTTATGATAATCCTCTGCACATTGTCAGAGGGAAGGTAGGCTGGTAGTACCCTGGCTAGCTAGATAGCATAATGGTACACATTTGTTTCTAAGTGGGGGAATCAGGGTCCACACAGTCACCCTGACCCCAGCCCCAGGTCTCATCATTGCATGTCTTATGTATTTTTCAAATCAACGTTGAAGTTATTGTCAAATTATAACTGAATATTACCTAAGTGAAATGGGTGAGAATTTAACATCATTCCTGATTTGAGCTGAACTTCATGATGTTCCATTAGAATGTTTATAAGGGGGTTACCTGGATTTTGCTGTATATTTTAACGCATTTTACATTCCGTTTGTTAGTAGGTCAGCTTGTTTTCATAAGGCTTTTTTTTTTTTTTTTTGCCAGTCCTGGGGCTTGAACTCTGGGCCTGAGTGCTGTCCTTGAGCCTCTTTGTGCTCAAGGCTGATGCTCTACCACTTAAGGCAAATGCCACTTCTGCCTTTTTCTGAGTAGTTTATTGGAGACCACGGATTTTCCTGCCCAGATTGGCTTTGAACTGTGATCCTCAGATCTCAGCTCCTGAGTAGCTGGGATTTGAGGCATGAGCCACCAGCACCTGGCAGCAAATTCATTTTTTAAAAGGTTTCAAATGGGCATCTTTTATCTTCATACCAAATCCCATAATGAGAAAAATAAATGCTGATAATTTCCCTCTTAAAATAGTTTTTATCATAATTACTTACATGATCATTTAAAATCTAATTATCTATTTTACTTTTGCATGTTTCATTAGATTGTTCAATGTCTGTGGGATCTTGGGGCTCAAGAGAACTACTCAAGTCTATTACATAAACAGTGTTTCAATTTAGTAAACTCATATCCAATAAAACATTAAAACCTCTTAAATAT